TTACCGTCTCCGCCATTGCCTCTACACGAATTCCCTGAACTTTGTACGCTCTCGCCGCTATCGAAAGCAAGGCCGCTCAATGCAGGCAAGCTACTGGAGCTGGACGCTGTAAAGCCACTACCAATTGCTGACGACGGGGGCACATCAGCAGTCGTACCACCAGAGGCAACGAACCAGGACCGAGCCAGATGCTCCATATTCATGAGATTTTCGCGGAAAACATTTTGTCTCTTTCTAACATCCGGGTACTCGTAGTTCTCGTTCTCACTTGCGAATCCGCTATCTGCCACGACGTCTGAAAACTCATGGTCATCGGCAAAAGCCTCGTCACCCAGAAAAAGAGAAAAATGCACGGGATAAAAGCGCTGCGGCCGCACACACGCTCCATCCGTTCTCCTGTTCCTACTGAAAGTCGAACTGCTTGCGCCTGAGGATGGAGGAGCTCGTGCCTGTTGCTCGCCATTCTCGGATGCCTTTTCATCAGCCGTAGCGGTAGACTGTAACTGTGTCGACCCCCTGTCCTCTCGTCCCGCCTTGATGTTGCAAATCTTCGTATCTTTCCTTCCGTTAATTCTATTCAAAGCATCGGCAAGTCTCTGCTTGGCATCGAAGATTGTTAATTGCGCACTCGCGCCAGCAGTCGCGTCATTGCCACGATGGAGAAGGGTGGGGTTTGCGCGTGGATCTGGATTGTGTTGCTGCCCTTCATCTTCTTCAATCTGTTCACCGGTAACCAAGTTGGAAAACTTCAATTTGATGAGCAAGGCGCGATTGTCGGGAAGAGGCGGTGCTGCACCCTCCATCTTGTCAATTTCGGCTCAACATGTATCAATAAATATCTAGTTTTTTGTTAGGACTACGCTGTGACCTTTCACTGGTACAACTAGTCTCATTCGTATAGCTCAATGTAGAAGTACTTACATAAGACGTTATAACAACTACTTCCTACAATTAGTAGCACTAGACGCGTGCATACTATGGAAGCTAATGTTGCCTCTACAACGTAAATGCCCACCACAACAGTTACCAATAGAACAACAGGAAGGAGTACTGGCCAAGAAGGCAGGGAGGATGATCAAATAAATAAAACCAAAAAAATCTAGTATCCGATCAAACCGTGGCACCACTCGAACGCGTGACCAGGAGCGCTTCGAAGCAAACAAAATATTAAGACACTTCTAGATAGAGGCAGTATTCTTGCGAGAGAGCAGCGTGGCTTCTGAGTCGAGTGTCAATCAGATTTTACGTCTCACTCACCTCCACTCTACTCAGGATGAAAAAAGCCCCACTATCGACTTGGGCATAATTATCACTAATTTTCACCTGCTCTATTTCAAGAATCATTTGGGAAAGGAAGCGATTTCTTCACTACATTTGTACTATTAGCACATCACCAATTGACGAGAAGTTGACAGTCACAAAAAAGAGAGAACAAGGGACCGCACACCACTACAGAGGCTACCACTACGGAGGCTGAGTCTCATTTCAATTGCCTTCTTAGTCAAGTCGTTCCTGCTGATAATTTCTCTCAGCACACTTGCCCTACACTGTGCAACAGACGGAACTACACAGAATTTGAGACTGGCAGAGACATACTCTTGTTTGAAACTACTGGTGCCATTAATTATACTACTAGCTTCTATCTTAATGACACCCACTCTGTCACTGTCTCGGTTAACTAAGTAAAACCTCTCACCTGACAGATCACATCTCGAACATCTCTTCTGTATTTAAATTCATTCTCTCTCGCAACTCTCCCTCAACACAGAAACGCCTTCATTAGGGTGTGCAGTTGATAATTCAATGAGACAGTCGATTCCCTAATTCCCTATTTGCTATACAAGAAACTCTAGTTTTTTGGAAGATTGGAACTCTTTCTTTGAATGCATCAGCGAAGATAAGAACTGAAATTCGATTATAATGCCTGTGCGCATGTTGATTGAGTGCGTCTACATAGTGCCTGCTGTTTGATGATCGTCCTGTTACAATTGCGGGAGGCGTCGGAGTGGTACTTCTTCCTAAAAGTCCGTTGCTTGTAAGTAGCCTGAAAAAATACAAAGAGGTGATATGGCCAGAATTAGGCAAGGAACGCATCGACTATTTAAGAAAAGTCTTGGAGTCCTGGTGGTAGTTGGAGGGTCGTTCTAAAAGATGCTTACGAAAATTGCGAGGGAACGTTAATAGTGGTCATGACTCAGCGTCAAGGGGGATGATGAGTGCAGCATTTGACCGTGGCACGTGATCAGAATATATTAAATGTGTACTTCATCGGTCTATGTATGCATTAGTCAGTGAATATCAGAATGCTATGCATGTCTAGTAAAAACAGGAATCACGACGATCACAGCGTAACTTTCTTAGACGCATGTGGTGGTTTTTGCATTTGCAGAGTCTAAAATCTAGGAATTCTAATTCTCTCAGGCAATCAAACACGAGTTACGCTCCCTGGTGTCGCTTCGCTGCCAGGCGCGCAAGAAGTCGGCTCTTCGAATCTGCTAGCTGCTCTTCGACGTGATTTCGATCCTTCCGACGCTGTAGTTGTATTGGCTGTCCGCCGTGTAAAACCAGCGCCGTGGACGAGAGATTAGAAGGAGAAAGTAGTTCAAGGTTGAACACAGACAAGAATGAAACGAACAACAAGTAGTTAAGTTTGTTCTATCTCCTTCCACTCCAGTGGTTGTTCACAAGAATGAAACGAACAACAAGTAGTTAAGTTTGTTCTAT